TAGTTTATATTTACTTGAAGTAGAAACTAAAATCCCGCTTAAAATTTTTAAAACTACTAAATTTGATAATTTGAAAAAATCCCGCTAATAGAGCTTTAATTTGAATTTTTAAGATATTTTTATTTTATTTTAAGGTCAGTTTCATTTATTATGAAAACAGATTTATTTAATAATTTCTATATAAATAAAGATCCTCTCAACGCATCAATTAGAAAAAAAAAAGGCAAGTTAGAAATGGGTATTTTTAATTTATCAGTACTAAATAATATTTCTTACCCGTGCATCGCACGGGATTCGTATTAGTTTTTAAATTAACATTGATTAACAAAAAAAAAATTATTTGAACGGATACAAGTCAGAAAGAAGGAATAAGATAATGATTGTATTAATATGGGAGCCCAATTGGTTATGGGTCATGAATTTCACCTGACCCAGTCAGAAAGAAGGGATCTGTAATCGGTCCATGGGCTAAGATTTTTAGGTCCACCTATTGTATTTAGTTATTTATTAATTTTATTTTTCTAAGTAGACTTCATCTCGGCCTGAAATTTGAAACTTGTATGAAATCAATAACATTAGGAGATACCTGCGAATGTTGGGCCTACAGCTCTTTAACTACATTATATTAGATTTCTATTGTAATTTTTTTAATCAGTATATAGAATTTTTGGTTTTATATTTAAATTGATAATATATTCTTATCCTTATGCAAAATTATGGTTAGCTGAAGGTAAAATTTAAAATCATTTACAACATAAACAGCTTTCTTGAGTTTATTTATTTATGAATCTCTTACTGAAGTTAGTAGGTAGGAAATTGGAATCATGCAAGTTGATAGAGAAGAATTTATTGATTTGTCTTGATTTTGACTGAATTTGAATTTGAAGACTTTGATTGTGATGGGCATAGTAATTGCACTCTGTACATCTAGAAGTCGGCCAGAAGCCAAATCTAGTGAGAAGATAATTTCGAAGGGAGCCTAAACACCACAAAATACCCACATTAATATTTAACTCCCAACATGAGAATCTAAATCCCAAAAGGATGATAAAACCCAAACAAATAGAAAGAAACACACGAAAAACACAAAACACCAACACAATAACTATAAAATAAAAAAGCCTTCCCACAGCCGGACAATTGCAACAAGCAAACAACGACGGTGACGCACACAGTCGACCACCCTCAACGGACCGAACCAAAGCTCGAATTTCAGCACCGGAAACTACAACACATGCCTAAACGGAATCGAAACCCAAGACATCGACTCCGAGCCCAGACGGCCAACCCAACCCCTTAGCAAAGGCAACCGAGCAACTCCCCCACCACGCCACCACCGTTCCGACCACTACCCACACTACGGCCAGGGCCCGACACGCCAGCCGCGCCCCTTCTTCCCTAACACCAGGGAAAGAAGGGGAAACCGCCTAACCACCT